AACCTTCCCCCGTTCCATCACGAGAAAAGCGGTTTCCACCCAATGACAGCCATTGTTCAAGGCTCCGCAGTAATTTGCGCCCTCTTTGGAAACGCCATGTCCTGGAATCTCAGGTGCACATCCTAATAGTAAAAATAATCATAGCAATACTGATAATAGCAAGGCAATGATAATCATAATAGTGATGATAATAATACTAAGAAGAAGAAGAAGTGCACTAATGAACAGAGTAATATATAATAACAAGAATAACAGGGGATGTGCGAATTTACAGTCATCCTCGGGCCGGTGTACGGCATGTTCATCTGTTTAGGCATTGCCGTACTTTAATGTGATGTCGTACAATAAAGCGTAATGTGAGGTAGCATAATGTTTGGGTACTGCCCCCCCTCAGTAACAGTTGGATAATATATTATAATATGCTTATATATAGCCCTTAATAGGACCCCTAATATAGACTGCTACTGGGTGGGGGCAGTACCCAACACAATGTTGTGTAATGCATGTCATGCATGTTATGTATGCAAGTATGCTATGACTGTATGCACTGCATGTACGTCTGGGTCTAGACATACAGATGCCTATGTGAATGCAGATCCTACATATGGGAGTGTTTCCAGAGAGGGTTTATGGACCCTGAGAATATCTGGAGATCGTGCGCAGATTCTGGTATCCTTGATAGTGGGTATACCGGAGCTCTTTAGAGAAACCCCCATATGCACCAGAAACCCTAAATCCCTAAACCCTAAACCCCTAAACCCTAAACCCCTAAACCCCTAAACCCCTAAACCAAAACCCTAAACCCTCACCTGTCCCAGGGCCATGCCTTCAGACTCAAAGTTTTGAGCCAGGTCATCAGCACCCACCCGAGCCTCTATCGGGGTTTAGGCTTTGGGGTTCAGGGTTTAGGGTTTAGGGATTTAGGGTTTAGGGATTTAGGGTTTAGGGTTTTAGGGTTTAGGGATTTCGGGTTTAGGGTTTTAGGGTTTAGGCTTCAGGCTTTAGAGGTTTAGGGTACAGGGTCTAGGGTCTAAGTTTAGGGGTTTAGGGCCTTAGGGCCTTAGGGGTTTAGGGGTTTACGCTGTACTGTAGGCAGGGGGCTCAAAAGAAGATGCTAACCGAGCAATGTATGGACATGTAGGGGTATGTGTGACTATATAGTTTGGGTTTAGAGGGTTAGATAAATCGGGGTTTAGTGCTTAGAGTTTGTGGAAATGGCGAAGCCAACGGAAAAGAAAATGGTCAAGAAGCCCGAATCTAATCAACTTCCCCTTGCGCTAGAAATACTTCCAACCCCAAACCCTAAAACCTCAACCCTAATACTGTAATCCCTTAGCCCTGAACCCTCAACCCGAAGCTCTAGACTCTCGACCCTGCACCTTGAAGCGCTCAGAACCATAGACCCGAAACCCAACACGTACGGGCCAAAATACATACAACTGTAATTTTGAGGTCTACTTGGGGCACGCTATACTGTAATCGTACCAGGAAACTTGGCCCAGAGTATTTGGTGATTATTAAAGGACCCTAAACCCTAAACAACCTGCCTTGCGCTCTGCGGCGCGCTTTCGGCGGAGGCGTCGGGCGGCGGAAGCAGAGGTCGGCTTCCTCGGAACATGAACTTGGCGGCTTAGGGATTCTGGGATTTAGGGTTTAGGGGCTTAGGGCTGAAGCTGTAGCAGTTTGCTGCTGAGATTTTTCACAGCGCCGCAGAAGTTTGCAGTTCAGTGTAGGGGATAGGACTTAGGGGAAGGGTTCAAGGTTTAGGATTTAGGATTTAAGGTTTATAGGGTTTGGGGTTCAGGCTGCACGTTGAAGCAAATAGAACGACGTCCGGGCTCGGCCGTGATTTCTCGAGTTTTACAGAAGAAAGTGGATTTTTGATAACCCAACCGGGAATGTGCGTACCAATATGATGGGATTCCAGAAGGATTTTAGAGAACTTGTCAACCCGAATAACGGAGAATCAAACGGAGAAGGAAATGGAACATGAAATGGACACTCGGTTTTGGCAGGCGCTAGTCTATATTCTGATAAGCCCGACTCTCCAAATTAGGACCCCGTTCTGGCGCATGCGCTACTTACAGTAGGTTCCTAGTTAGGGGGCTGGAGGTGCAAAAACATTTTTGGGTTTTGGGTTTAGGGCTTAGAGTTTGCGGTTTGTCAAAAGAGGGCGCCCAAAATTCTGCTTTCTTTTGTCATGGATTTGGGCTCTAGGGTTCTCAGCAAAACTGAGCAGGCTGAAGTACTCAGTGTCATTCAGGCCCCTCTGAATGGTGTATGGATGAAACATTGATATTGGGTTTAGGGCTTAGGGGGTTAGAGTGTGATAACTTCCCAGATTTGGGTCCTCCCAATCATGGGACCTGTTATTGAATACATCCCCACGTTCAAACCCTCCGAAAACAGTTGGGCCTTAGGAGGACCCCCCACCCTGTAATAGTGGTATAATAAGAATACAAGAGGACCCTAATATAATCCCTATTATCCCTTATAGTTACTATTACTGGGTGAGGGGTCCACCTAAGTTGGGCCACTAGAGGAAATACTTAATGTGGGAGGTGGAGCTGCTGTTTAAGGTTTAGGGTTCAGGGGCTTCAGCATAGCTGGGTGCATCTTGAAATCCTAGCCAGAATTCAAAAGCCCTCCCTGATATGAGGGGCTGTCAAAATCACGGTCCCTCATGGGTACCCTGAAAATTTGGGGCCGTACTACTTAACGAACACCCACCCTATATATCATCCCGACACTGTGTCTCATAGGATCCCCTACTACTCCCAGCCTGGCACCCACCGGCCCCAAATAACGCCACAAAGAAGCCCTAGAAATCCTGCAGTAAACCTTATTTGCTGCGGGGCGGGGGGGGGGGCTTAGGCTTTGGAGTAATATATGATCCTATGATGGCCCTAAGCTCTAAGCCCAAAACAGCCCATAATGTATCCCTATATAGCCCCTGTAGACCCTTTCCCGTATCATCGTATCCTGCGCTGCACGCTGTACCTTCTTACATGCCAGAGACTGCGCACATGATCCTTCCTTAATTGAAGGTTATTGGTCAGAATTCAGGATTTAGGGTTTAGGGTTCCTAGGGTGGAGGAAATCTTGCACCACACTGAACCCTGAACCCATATACATATACATATATATATACATATATACACCCGTCTGGAAAGTTATTATAGGTCTGGTATTAACTAGGATGACTAAAAGTATGGCCTGGCCTGAACTACTCAAACCCCCCTAAACCATCCCATGAACCTCCCAATAACTTGACGTTAAACCCCCCCAAAAATTTGCCTAATCCCCTAAACCCTAAACCCTAAACCCTAAACCCTAAACCCTAATCCCCAAATCTTGAAGCCGAGTTAGGGTCGCCTACCCCTACTGAACCCATTTGGTAGTTTCCGAAAATTAGGGGTACCTTTTTGGGGCCCCCATAATCAGGATTATGGTATATTAGGGTCTATATTGGGGTCCCCTCATTTTGGGAAACTACCATTTTAAGGGAGCAAGGAAAAGCAAACGTCGGACAAAGGAACAATGTTAGCCCTCATCACCTCCGTAGACGTATAGTATCATCTGAACTATACTCTACACTTCTAGTATCTCCGTTAAGAATCCCCATGATACTCCCCTATGTCATCCCGGATGTAATCTCCTTTAAGACGTTTAGACTATAGCTCATGTAGCCCAATTCTGAAATCGCATGGGTACTAAGCAGCTGATAGCTTAAATGAGGACGGGAAACGCCTGGGCGGGACTCATCTCGTCTGCCTCACACATCCAGCTCATGGGTTTTGCTGGCCTTTGGTTAGCTGCGAATGAAGGCATGGAAAAGAAAATGGAAACTATCATAATGGGTTCTATAGGGGTATGTGGGGTTTTATAGGGGTTATTTAAGGAGAATGGAAAAGAAAATGGAAACTAATATGATGTGCTCTATAGGGCCTACTAATCATCCATGCCTTCACTCCTAGCTAAGCAAAGGCCAGTTTCGGATGGTGCCCTGCTTTGGGTATAGTTTAGGGCGTAGAGCTTAGCGGTCTAAACCCTAAAACCTCACCCCCACATTGAGTGAGGGAGTACCTAGTGGAGTAGTACAGCGGCGGCAGTAGGGAAGCAAGCATCACCCCTCGTCCTAGACTCTGGTTTAGGGGATGGGCTTGGGATTTAGGATTCAAGGTTTTGGTTCGGGGTGGAATCCGAAAAACATGTGTTGCAGTATGTAATCCAAAGCTAATCTTATATCACAGATGAAACCGGCCATTTTGAAACCTCATGGTCCAATACTCATCTTCATCGCTCATGGGAACCCCATATGAGCTATAATCTAAACTCCGAGTATCCCCCTTAAGAAGCCCTATACTACTCCCCCATATATTCCCCTTTGAGGAGTTTAGACTATAGCTCATGTTCCATTCAAGGTCCAGCTTTTAAAATTCTAGGGATGCTGGGGCTTAGGGTTCGGGGTTTAGATTTCAAGGTTTAGGGTGGGGGGGGGTTAGGGTTTAAGGCTTAAGGTCTAGGGTTTAGGGTTTAAGGTTCAGGGTTTAGAGTTTAGGGTGTTTAGGGTTTAGGGCATACCCGGTTTAGGGCTTAGGCTGTTACTATTCTGAGCAACCTCGATATAGTGATTGTTGATCTTGTAATCACTATTTGGGTTCCTGCTACAATACGGCCCCTCATGGGTAGGGTACCCAAGAATGACAACATGTTCGAGCACAGCTTAAACAAAAATAATGAACCCTACATAAAACAGTCGCTGCAATGTCCTTTTCCACTTCCCCTAAATCACACCCTTTGGAATGTAAGAGGGAACTTCCCCTAAAGGGCTGTATTATACAGAGAGGCTCCAAGAAGGAACCGCATTTTTGACAATCCCCCAAATGGATTCCCAGTAGCGTTTGTATTCATTAGAAGCATGGGAACAGTTAAGGTTGCATGCCCCTAGACCTGAAAACCTCAAAACCCTAAACCCTGTTCCCTTCCCACTTCCTGGCCTCCAAATGGCGCGGGGACGCCTCAGATGGGGCGGTGGAAACCTCATCTGCCACGAAGGCATTGGAGTCATCGGGTGCACAGCACTGCTCGGGCGTGCTAGCATAGGCCCAGTGCCCATCCAACGGAACTTCCGAGGCTGGACAACCCATCTGCGTCATCTGCGGCACTGGCTGCAGATGCAGCTGCTGTAGGGGTAGCTGCAAGGGCAGCTGCTGCACAGGCTGTGGCGCTTGCTGCATAGGCTGCAGCGCTGGCTGCATGGGCTGCAGCTGCTGCATCTGTGCGGGCTGCGTGTGCTGCATCGGCATCATCTGGGTCATCTGGGTCATCTGGGACTGGGTCATCTGGGGCATTTGCTGCACTGGCAGCTGCTGCCACCACTGTGTGGAGCCTTGGGTGGAGCCCTGGGTCGGGTTCGCCATGGCTGGATAGAAGCCCACATTTGGGGCGAGGGGCATCTGCATCTGATCCGCGGGGACCATGCAAAACGCCATCATTGGCATCGGAGTCGACTCCTCCTGCTCGTAACCCCAACTTTGCTGGGATGGCCTTAGATGTCCAAGGACTTGCTTTGGGAGTTCAAAGCTGAGAGCGTTCCACTTGCTTTGGGTCCCATCCACAAACGTCGCTTGGATCTTACTGAATCTTTCTATTGGCCCCCCCTTCTTAGGCAGGTGGTGGCTTCGGGCACGACCCCCAGAGGCACTGCCCTGCTAATCCATATCCAGGAAGTGCATACTTCTGTCCCGACGATCGCTCTACTTGCACAAAACTCCGGCATGACTACCGACCAGTGCAAGACATGTTAAGTCGCAAACAGCCGAGCTGCACCATCTCGGACGATCTTGGGTCAGAGGATCTACAGGATGGTTGCTTGAACCTACAAGACCTGCGGAAGAATCTCTAGCAGCAGTACTACTACTACTACTACTACTACTACTAGTACTAGTACTAGTACTACTAGTACTACTAGTAGGAACAGCCAGAATCATGTTCGTTACTAATTCGAATAGTGATAGTAATAGCAAGAACAGTAGCAAGAATTGTAAAAACACGCGACAACTCTGCCACAAGGCCATGGACGTCGAGTTTCCTTCAGCCTGCCAACTGTGTGACTTGCGCGTGCTCTCCCACTGCCCCTACTGGTTACAAGTATTCCCAGCCAGCTGGTAATGCAACTATAATAGTTGCCATTTTCTTTTCCATTATCCCTATATAACCCCTATATACCATAGTAGTTTCCATGTTCTTTTCCATTATCCCTATATAACCCCTATATACTATAGTAGTTTCCATGTTCTTTTCCATTATCCCGATATAACCCCTATATACTATAGTAGTTTCCATTTTATTTTCCATCATCCCAATATAACCCCACATAGCCCTACCCCTAAGCCATCAATCCCAAAGGCTAGGATCCCCTAGTACCTCTTCTTGGGGTGGAGCA